ATCAAGTTATTAATAAGGTCAGACCTGGGCAGTCCTGCAACCAGGCCGTGATGTTCACACTATTGCCTGCCCTTCAGGTGAAAGAGCTGCCTCTCAGTTTTCATTTTCAGAGCAATCGGAACAGCAACAGAAACACATGCACATGCCTGGTGACAGGTTACACTGGTACAAACACTTTGGAAATCAAGCTGGCGTTCGCTGGTCTGGTTACAGCACATCCCGCGTACAGTCTAGAAATCCTACTCCTGATCATACACTCAGGAGGATTTCCGGCCCATTAAAATGAAATACCAAAGTTCATGCCAAGGATACTCTGTAAGAACGATTTGCATTGGAAGAAAACCACAGCCAATTATTCTGAACCGTGTAACAGAGAGGATACAGAATATCATACACATTTGATCTTTTGGTCATTTGATCTTCTGCTCACTGGCACCTCATTAATTTCTGGCATACAATGTTGCATATGGTGTGCAGGCAATTCTATCTCGTGAAGGATTTGATGGGGCACATTAACCTCACATTCAACTGGTTCAATGTATTCACAGAATGAAAAAGTACATTGTTGCTCAATGCAAATTAAGCTGGAAATCATACAAAGGAATAACCACTGACGAAATTGCAGATTTGAATGGAATGACAACAAGCAGAATTGCCTAAAATATTTTAGGACAGAGTAACTGTGTTTTTTAAAATTTGTTGATGCCTGGGGCACCTGGGTGGGCTCAGTCGGTAAGCGTCCGACTTCAGCTCAGATCATGATCTCGCGGTCGATCCGTGAGTTCGAGCCCCGCGTCGGGCTCTGGGCTGATGGTTCAGAGCCTGGAGCCTGCCTCTGATTCTGTGTCTCCTTCTCTCTCTGCCCCTCCCCCATTCATGCACTGTCTCTCTCTGTCTCAAAAATAAATTAAAAAAAAAGTTAAAAAAAATTAAAATAATAAAATAAAATTTGTTGATGCTTAAATCTCTTTTACCAAATCTCATTGAAGACCATAGTGAGAGATGTTAAGTTTATATGAATGTTCAATAAATTTCTCATTATTACTTTCTAAAGACAAGTTTGAAGCATTCAATAAAAATAATGGGTGAAAGAAGCATTTGACTTACAAACCCCGGCAGATTCCAAGATGGTTGCCTTAACCAACCTCAGGTTGTTCATACTCTCCCAGTTGTTGGATCAAACAGTAATCCTGGTGCTGGTGTGAAGGGACTTTGCATGTGCAGTTAAGGGTCATATCAGCTGAATTAAAACAGGAGGGTTATCATGGTTAATCCTGACCTCATCAGGAGAGCCCTTAATAGGATCGGGTTCTTCCTGAGTGAAGGCCTGGCATAATGAACAGGACTCACCGTGAGAGAAGCCTTGACCATGGAAGGGGCCACCGGGCAAGCAGTGCTGGTGGCCACAGGAGCTGACAGCAGCATCCCACTGACATTGTGCAAGGAAGTGGACCCTTGCAGGGGGAGGACCGCAGTCCTCCAGCTCCAGGAAATGGAATTCTGCCAACAGCTCTGTTCAAGCTTGGAGGGGATGTTGAGCGCTAGGTGCAAACACTGCCTGTGACACACCGGAGAGAACCTTCAGCATCACACTGGACTGCTGACCTGCAGAACTGGGACACATGGATGGCTGCTGTCGTAAGTCACTATGGTTGTGGGAATTTGTTCTGCGGCAATAGGAAACCACTGCACAGCCTCAGTGTACATAGCGGTCTTGCCCCCGGAATGAAGCTATGAAACTTCACTTCATGCATACTAGTGGCATGAAAAAAATCTTTCCTCATTTTTGCTTATGTATTTTTCATTTTATGATTTTGTATCACGGAATTAAATTCTTTAATTTTTTTTTAATTTGTCTTTTATTTTTTGAGAGAGACAGACAGATCATGAGTGGGGGATGGACAGCAAGAGAGAGAAGTAGATACAGAATCTGAAGCAGGCTCCAGGCTCCGACTGTCAGCACAGAGCCTGACATGGGGCTCGAACTCATGAACTGTGAGATTATGACCCGAGTGGAAGTCGGACGCATAATGGACTGATGCCACCCAGGCACCCCTGGAATTAAATTCTAATAGCATATTTCATTCATTCATTCATTCATTCATTTGAAAACAATTAATTTAGTGTTTACCATTCACCAGGAATGGCTTTCTATGCCGGGGATACAGCTTTCACCAAAATAGCCCAAAGCCCCTGTGCTCATGGGCCCTACATTCTAGAGGCTTCCCAAGAGTGGGACGCGGTCACTGGAGCATTTTCAGTGAACACATGACACAACCTGACTCACATTAGCAAGGTCGCTGACTCCTGCAAGGAGAAGAGCCCCAGGTGGCAGGTGATGCAGGGCACCAGGGCCACAATCCAGGAGGGAGAGGATGGTGGAGACTTAGGGGAGGAGAGGGCCTGAGGGATGAGAGAGACATAGAGAAGGGCTGCAGACACAGGGTGAGGAAAAGAAGCAGAGGGAAAGAATTCTAAACCAGTGGAATTCTCAGATTTTTAATAAACCTCTATCTACAGGGCTTAGCAAGAAATTCTTTGCATCTACTGTTTGCTGTACTCTGGGAGCTGCCTGAAAACCAATTACCTCCTTACATTAATCAGGGTGGAGAAAATGGTACCAATAACACCCCAATAAAATATTCCTTAGGTTTTCATTCACAACCACAGGCAGTGCATGAACACTGGTGAAGGGCGTTTTCACTGCACTAAATACATGCCACTTTGAAGGAATTGATGGTTGCATACTGTGGTCGAAATATACTGTATTAATGATATTTTCTGTATTCTTGATGCTCTGACATTTGTGACTCCCATCACTGGGGAGACACTGTCCGTCCCCTGGCTGGACAATTCTTAGAGACAGCTAAGTGCTTGCCCCGGAGCATGCCTTTCTTTTGCAAACTCAACAATCCAATCCAGATGCCACATTCTGAACCATCTCTCTGTCAGGCGCATACACTCCAGGAGGCAATATTCCTCTGCTCCAAAGACCCAGGGTCAGCTACCAGCCTTCTAGAGAGAACTCCCATCCCCCAGAGCCCACCGATAACGTTATTCACACTGGTCAGTTCTAAACTGTCTCCCCAGCCCCTCCTTCCCTTTCTCAAGGAAAACACAATCAAGGCTCTGAGCCATGCTTTCTTCCTCTCCTTCTGCCCCCACTTGGCCCTGTGTGGTGTGCCCTGCCCCTCCCCTCGGGAAATGTAAGTGATAAAAGAAATCTTCCCGCAGTGGCATCAGCCTCTCCAGCTGTCACTTAGTCCCCGTGATAAACAAAGGCCCAGGCACAGATCATATACAGTAGCAAACTGTACTTCTATGTGCTGCTTTGTGTTGAGGATTGTCTGGGACTCACAGAGCTATGGAACGAAGATCATTTTAAAATACAAAAGCTCGGGGCGCCTGGGTGGCTCAGTCGGTTGAGCGTCCCACTTCAGCTCAGGTCACGACCTCGCGGTCCGTGAGTTCGAGCCCCGCGTGGGGCTTTGGGCTGATGGCTCAGAGCCTGGAGCCTGCTTCCGATTCTGTGTCTCCCTCTCTCTCTGCCCCTCCCCCATTCATGCTCTGTCTCTCTCTGTCTCAAAAATAAATTAAAAAAAAACGTTAAAAAAATACAAAAGCTCTACGCCATGGTTTGGGAAAGTGAAAATTACAGCTTTAGTTATTGCAAGGCTATGAAAACAAATGTATCTAGGAAGGCTAAAACCACTACTTTGACAGATTAGATTTGGATCATTCAGTGGTGACCAAGATGATGGTTAATAAACAAAAAGCAAACAGGCCTCTGTGAGATTCTCTAGCTGGTGCCTCAGGCACAGGTGCCCCAGGTTTCAAGAGGAAACCATTGTTTCTCTACCAACCATCCCGAACCCAGCTCAGTCTCTGACATCAAATTCCCTGGGACGAAGTTTCCTTCTAAAACAGTCCAGGAGGTTATGTCCTTCCCTGTGCAGAAGCTTTTTATGTGGATGTAGTCCCAGTAGTTTATTTGTGCTTTGGTTTCCCTTGCCTCAGGGAACACATCTAGAAAGAAGTTGTTACTCCCCATGTCAAAGAAATTAGCGTGTGTGTTCTTTTCCAGGATTTTTATGGTTTCAGGCCATTTTGGCCTTTAATCCACTTTGCATTTATTTTTGTGTATGGTGTGAGAAGTGGTCCCTATTCTTTCTTTGGCATGTTGCCTTCCTGATGAGAGCACCTGGTGATGTATGGAATTGTTGAATCACTTTGTTGTTCTCGGAAACTAATATAACACTGTATGTTATCTGACTGGAATTTAAATAAAAACAATGAATAAATAAGTAAATAAATAGGTAAGTCAGTCAGTCAGTCAGTCCAAGGAGAGAGATAAGGGGTTAGAGGAAGGGAGTCCAGTTCAGGGGGGTGGGGGAGGGGGTGTTTCCAGGAAGGGAAGTGAGGAGAAAGGGCTGCGCCCAGTGTGCTGTCTCTACCTGGCACCTTCAGAAAGTCCCTGGACCAGAACTCAGAGAAACAGTGTGATAAAGAGAGCTCCCTGCAAGAGGAGAGGGGTCAGGTCCCAGTCCCTTGTCCCCAAGAGGGTGTGGCTCTCAGGGTGGAAGGTGCAAGGGCACAGAGGCAGGGAAGCCTAGTGTTGGGAGTCCCCATCTCCCCTGGTCTCACTTCTCCCTGTCACAGCCTGTGTCAGGTCCCCCTGTCTGGGATTCATGAAGGCGCCCCTGTTCACACTCCCATTGCCTGTCTGGTTTCTAGAGAAGACTATCATATCAGCTTCACCGCGTTCCCTGGCCTGTCCTGGCCACAGACAGGCTGGGACTTAGATTCTCCCAGGGGATGGGGATCCTGGGGCCTTGAACCTGCCTCCTGGTGCTTTCAGGGGCCTGGCCATGACCCTGACCTGGGCCAGTGAGTGTGAGGTCAGAAGGAAAGAGCCTGTTATGTGTAGGAGCAAAGGGACCGCCTGGTGGGGACGCTGGACCACTGGGGAAGGGGGCCACCGCCCCCACTCCACACCCCCCCCCCCCCCCCCCCCCGGGGGGGGGCACCCCGCCCTGCCCTCCCGGCTGCCTCCATCTGGGACCCGGCTCCGGGCCTGGAGGAGGGTCGGACGGGGTCTCAGCCCCTTTGTGCCCACAGTTCCCACTCCTTGAGGTGTTTCCACACCGCGGTGTCCCGGACCGGTCGCGGGGAGGCGCTGTACGTCTCGGTGGGCCAAGTGGACCACACGCAGTTCCTGCGATTCCACAACGACGCCGCGAGTCCGAGGGTAGAGCTGTGGAAGCCGTGGGTGGAGCAGGAGGGACACAGTTTGGGACGAGCAGACGGAGATCGCCAAGGTGCACGCACCGACCTCCCGACCGAACCTGCACACCGCCCTCCGCCACTACGACCAGAGCGAGTCCGGTGAATGACCCGGGCCAGGGTCCAGGTGACGAGTCCCTGAATCCCCCTTGGACCTGCTGAGGTCTCTCTGAGCTCCGGGTCCGAGATTCACCCCGACGCCAGGAGACCTTCGCGGCCCCCACCCAGGATGAGCCCGCGGGGATTCACTCGGATTTTATCTAGTTTCTGGGTCTTTGACCAATCACTGCGGGTAGGTATCCTGAGGAGTGAGGCAGGAGAGCCTGGCTGCAGGGCTGGCGGGTGGGGGACGGCTGCGGGGAGGGGGGGGGGGCCGGCTAGCTAGGGGGGGGGGATGCCCGCGAGGCTGGGTGAGAGAGTGGGCGGGGCCAGGGCCTCACCTTCCAAGGCACTTCTGGCTGCAACTTAGGGTTCGATGCGAACCACCTCGGCGGGTGTGAGCAATTCGCTAGGAGGGCGCCGATTACAGCCCCCTGAAGGAGGACCTGCACTCCTGGAGGGCAGCGGAGGAGGCGGTTCGGATCCTTGGGCGCCAGTGGGAAGCTGCCTGAGCAGCCAAGCACTACCGGGTGTTACCTGCAGAGGGAGTACGTGCTGGGGCTCCACCTGTACCTGGAGAAAGGGAAAGAGACCTTGTAGGAAGCAGGTGTGTGGGGCCGCCAGGCCTCCTGATCTCCCCTGGGGCAGGTGCTGTACCTCCTGCTGGCCCCACCGAAAGGGAGGAAAATAGGATTGACACCAGAATTCTTCCCTGTCCCCCTCCTTGGGTCCTGAGGGTGAGGAGTTCCCCTGGGTTTTCGGATCCTGTGTCAGAGAGAGACTGGCTCGCAGGACCCATCCTTCTCTCAGGACAGAGGGGATCCAGTCTCTGTGGAGAGACATATCTCTAAAAGAATTCAATAGCAGGTTTCCTTGACCCTGGTATTCACCTTGGGCACCCCCAGGTGACGTCCTCCCTCAAGCCTTGCTCTCTGTCCCATGCCCAACTTCATTGGAGGGCTGACTCCAGGGGTTTTGAGCCACTGGGCCTCCTCTACCAGGTCAGGACTAGAAGTCTCTGTTCCCTCACTCAGGGACCCTGAGCCTCCTCCCCTAGGCTGTCTTACTTACCCTGCCTCCAGACCTTCCCAAGGGATGGGAAGTTATCCCAGATCCTGGAGCTCCGGCTGGGATGTGAGTCTTGCACTCCCCTGCCCACCCCATTGTCCTCTCCATTCTCAGCATGGTCACATGAGTGCTGCTTCGGTGGTCCCCGGGGGATGATGCAAAGTTCCTAAAGTCTCTGACCCTTCTCCTCAGATCCTCCACAGACACATGTGACCTGCCACCCCATCTCTGACCATGAGGGGACCCTGAGGTGAAGGGCTGTGGGCTTCTACCAGACAGAGATTACTGTGACCTGGCAGTGTGATGGGGAGGACCTGACCCAGGACACGGAGCTTGTGGACACCAGGCCTGCCGAGCCGGGACCTTCCAGAAATGGGCGGCTGTAGTGGTGCCTTCCGGGAGAGGAGCAGAGATACACATGCCTGTGCAGCACGGGAGGCTGCAGGATCCCGTCAGCCTGAGATGGGGTAAGAAGGGGGATGAAGGGGTGGATTTTATCCACAGACAGCAGAATTCATGACACCTTCTGTAGACCTTCAGCGGCATCACAGCTGAGGCCCAGGGGTCAGAACTCTCACCTTCCCTTTCGTTCCCAGAGCCCCCGTGTCACTCCAACATCCCCATCATGGGAATCATTGCTGGTTTGGCTGTCCTTGGAGCTGTGGTCACTGGACCTGGGACCTGGAGGAGGAAGAGCTCCAGCAGGGAAAGGGGTGAGGTCAGAGTTTTCTTGCACGAGGTTGCGGGGAGAGTGATGGGGTGGCGGGGGGAGGGCTTCAAGCCATATGTAATTTTCCAGTGTGTTGCCTCAGTCCTGAGAGGCACCATCCACACACATGTGCTTACCCAGTTGGACCCTATTTGCTAATACTCTTTCGAAAATCACACCTGAAAAAGAGACAAAACGTTCAGCTCGATGCTTCTGGTGATGGGACCTGATTCCCAGCAGTCACAGGACAGAGGGGAGGCCCTGCTGCACACAGACCTCCAGGAAGCTTTGATCTAGTTTCCACATGTCCTCTTACCTCACATTGTGTAATCTTGCCCTAGGTCTGTAGTTAAAGTTCTGGAAATTTCTTTGGAGGCCAAAATTTCAGGGGCCCCTTTAGGACCTCAGGGCCCAAGCCTTCTCCCTGGCCTCTGACACGATGTTTTGTTCTCACAGGGGAAAAGATGGAGCTACACTCAGTCTGCAAGTAAGTATGGACGGGGTGATCCCTGAGACCCTGGGTAGTGCAGACGGGGCCCCATGAGGAGCTCACCCACCCCATAGCTCCCTTGTCTCATCTCCTGGAGGCTCTGACCACGTCCTGTTGTACTGTGGCTGTGACAGTGCCCAGGGCTCTGATGTGTCTCTCAAGGCTTCTAAAGGTGAGAACTTCAGGGTGCCTGGGTAGCTTAGTCAGTTAAGCATCTGACTTTGGCTTGGGTCATGATCTCAGAGTTCGTGAGTTCAAGCCCCACATCAGGCTCTGTGCTGACAGTGTGGAGCCTGGAGCCTGCTTAGACTCTCTGTCTCCCTCTCTCTCTGCCCCTCCCCCACTGGCTCTCCCTCCCTCCCTTCCTCCCTCCCTTTTTCCCTCAAAAATAAATAAGCATTATATATATATATATATGTATATATATATAATTGTCAAATTATATATAAAGGTGAGACCTTGGAGGGGCTAGAGTGGGGAGGGGCACAGGGGATGAGATTGGGTTAAGGGGATCCTCTGGACTTGGATATTTGAGTGTGTGGAGGGTTTTTACAAATGTCACCACTTAGAATGACTGACTTGAATGTGTTCATGATTATTTTCTGTCACAGTGTGAGCCAGCTGCCTCATAGGGGACTGAGTGATATAATGTTTCCCTCTCTCTCTCTGCCCCTCCCCCATTCTCTCCCTCCCTCTGTCCCTCCCTCCCTCTCTCTCTCTCTCAAAAATAAACATTCAATATATACATATGTCAAATTTTATATATATATAATATATATATTTATAAAAGTGATATATATATTATATATATATATTTATAAAAGTGAGTTCTTGGAGGGCCTAACATGGGGAGCGGTTGGGACAGTGGGGATGAGATTGGGGGTTATGGGAATCCTCTGGACTTGGACATTTTGAGTGCATGAAAGGTTTTTCCAAATGTCACCACTTATACTAACTGACTTGAATGTGTTCATGATTAGTTTTCACAGTGTGAGCCAGCTGCCTCCTGGGGGACTGAATGATACGAGGTTTGTTCTCACTGCCACTTAGTGACATCAAGAACCCTAGACTCCTTTATGTATAAAAGGTGTCCGAATGTGTCCTTGTTCCTGGGAGCATAATGTGAGGAGGTAGGGACAGTGGCCCACTCCCCATCACGACCCCTTCCCACACACACAACTGTAATGGTATCATGATGCATTCACATGATCAGTCATCAGATTGTACACATTAAATACATGCAAATCTTGGTGACCAATGATGCCCTAATAAAGCTGTTTATAAATTAATTTTATTTGGCAGGAGAGACTAGAAGATGGTGGCATAGGAGGATGCTGGGCTCACCACATCCGGCTGATCACTTAGATTCCACCCAATCTGCTTAAATAACCCAGAAAACCACCAGAAGACTAGCAGAACAGACTGTCCAGAGCCAAGCATAGACAAGAGGCCCATGGAAGAGGGTAGGAAGGGTGGAGAGACGGTGTGTGCTACACAGACTGGCAGGAGGGAGCCAGGGTGGTGGAGGGGCAGCCCGCCCGGCAAGGCAGAGGTCCCGAGTCTGACTGGCAAAAGCGGAGGGGCCGGACGGAGTGTGTTCTGACAGCCAGCAGGAGTTAACACCTGGAATGTTATAAGTCATCAGCTCTGCTCTCAGTTAGCAGGGAGGGTGAGAGGATGCCAGGAGGGAGAGTTGTGCCCCAGAAGACAGAGCTTAGCTCGACGGGGAACAAAGGCACTGGCAAGTGCCATCTCTGTCTCCCATCCCCCAGCCGTAATCCCAAAGGGAACCAGTTCCAGTCACTGAACTTGCTTGCACCGCACAAAACCCAACGCTGTGCTTCTGTGGATCCATCCCTCCCACGGGCCTGCCTCCCTCCTGGTGCTGCGGGTGCCTTCCCACAGGGGACCACTGACGGCAAAGTGAGCTAACCCTGACCCTCCCGCCCCTGCACACGTTGCAGCAGATCCACCCTGGCTAATATGCCAGATCCCATGGAAGCAGCACCACAAGCCTGGCAGTGTGCAAGTAGCCCAGACAGGGGCCACACCACTCCACAGTGAGTCCTGACCCTGGGAGAGGGGAAGATAAGGGACACAGCAGTCTGACTGTGGCCCCAGCGGTGGGCTGGAGGCAGACCTCAGGTCTGACTGCGGCCCCGCCCACCAACACAAGTTACTCCAACCAGCACAGGGGAAGTGCCCTTCAGTTCCGCACCACCCCAGGGACTATCCAAAATGACGAAAGAGAAGAATTCTCCTCAAAAGGAACTCTAGGAAGTAGCGACAGCTAACGAATTGATCAAAAACGATTTCAGCAACAAAATGGAACAAGAATTTAGAATAATAGTCATAAAATTAATCACTGGGGTTGAAAAAAGGATAGAGGACAGCAGACAATCTATGGCTACAGAGAACAAGGAACTAAGAAATAGTCATGAGCTAAAAAAATGCTATAAGTGAGGTGCAAAATAAAATGGAGGCGAACACAGCTTGGACTGAAGAGGCAGAGGTGAATTAGGAGATGAAATATGGAAAAAGAGGAAGCTGAGAAAAGAGAGACAAAAAAATCCAGGAGTATGAGGGAAGAATTAGAGAACTAAGTGATACAATCAAATGGAACAATATCCGTAACTAGGAATTCCAAAAGAGGAAGAGAGAGAGAAAGGAGCTGAAGGTGTACTTGAAGAAATCATAGTTGAGAACTTCCCTGATCTGGGAAAGGAAAAAGGCATTGAAATCCAAGAGCACAAAGAACTCTCTTCAGAAGTAACTTGAATCGATCATCTGCATGACATATCATAGTGAAACTGGCAAAATACAAGGATAAAGACAAAATTCTGAAAGCAGCTAGGGATAAACACACTGTAACATATAAAGGGAGACCCATAAGACTAGTGATGGATCTATCTACAGAAACTTGGCAGGCCAGAAAGGAATGGCAGGAAATCTTCAATGTGATGAACAGAAAAAATATGCAGCCGAGAATCCTTTATCCAGCAAGTCTGTCATTTAAATAGAAGAAGAGATAAAGGTCTTCCCAAACAAACAAAACTGAAGGAATTCATCACCACTAAACCAGCCCTACAAGAGATCCTAAGGGGGACCCTGTGAGACAAAGTACCAGAGACATTGCGACAAGCATGAAACCTACGGACATCGCAATGACTCTAAACCCATATCTTTCTATACTAACACTGACTGTAAATGGACTAAATGCTCCAACCAAAAGACATAGGGTATCAAAATGGATAAAAAAGCAAGACCCATAGATCTGCTGTCTACAAGAGACACATTTTAGACCTGAGGACACCTTCAGATTGAAACTGAGGGGATGGAGAACTATCTATCATGCTACTGGAACTCAAAAGAAAGCTGGAGTAGCCATACTTATATCAGACAAACTAGACTTTAAAATAAAGGCTGTAACAAGAGATAAAGAAGGGCATTATATAATAATTACAGGGTCTATCCATCTGGAAGAGCTAACAATTATAAATGTCTATGTGCCGAATATGGGAGCCCCCAAATATATAAAACAATCACAAACATAAGCAACCTTATTGATAAGAATGTGGTAGTTACAAGGGACTTTAATACTCGACTTACAACAATGGATAGAGCATCTAGACGCAGGATCAATAAGGAAACAAGGGCCCTGAATGATACATTGGATCAGATGGACTTGACAGATACATTTAGAACTCTGCATCCCAAAGCAACAGAATATACTTTCTTCTCGAGTGCACATGGAACATTCTCCAAGATAGATCACATATTGGGTCACAAAACAGCCCTTTAGAGGTATACAAGAATTGAGACCATACCATGCATACTTTCAGACCACAATGCTATGAAGCTTGAAATCAACCACAGAAAAAAGTCTGGAAAACCTCCCAAAGCATGGAGGTTAAAGAACACCCTACTAACGAATGAGTGGGTCAACCAGGCAATTAGAGAAGAAATTAAAAAATATATGGAAACAAACGAAAATGAAAATACAACAATCCAAACGCTTTGGGACGTAGTGAAGGCAGTCCTGAGAGGAAAATACATTGCAATCCAGACCTATCTCAAGAAACAAGAAAAATCCCAAATACAAAATCTAACAGCACACCTAAAGGAACTAGAAGCAGAACAACAAAGACACCCCAAACCAGCAGAAGAAGAGAAATAATAAAGATCAGAGCAGAAATAAACAGTATAGACTCTAAAAAACTATAGAGCAGATCAATGAAACCAAGAGTTGGTTTCTTGAAAAAATAAACAAAATTGATAAACATCTAGCCAGGCTTCTAAAAAGGAAAGGGAGATGACCCAAATAGATAAAATCATGAATGAAAATGGAATGATTACAACCAATCCTACAGAAATACAAGCAATTACCAGGGAAGACTATGAAAAATTACATGCCAACAAACTGGACTACCTGGAAGAAATGGACAAATTCCTAAGCACCTACATACTTCCAAAACTCAAACAGGAAGAAATAGAAAACTTGAACAGACCCCTAACCAGCAAAGACATTGAATCACTTATCAAAACTCTCCCAACAAATAAGAGTCCAGGACCAGATGGCTTCCCAGGGAAATTCTACCAACATTTAAAGCAGAGAATACCTATCCTCCTCAAACTGTTCCAAAAATAGAAAGGGAAGGGAAACTTCCAGACTCATTTTATGAAGCCAGCATTACTTTGATTCCCAAACCAGACAGAGACCCAGCAAAAAAAGAGAACTACAGGCCAATATCCCTGATGAATATGGATGCAAAAATTCTCAATAAGATACTAGCAAACCGAATTCAACAGCATATGAAAAGAATTATTCACCATGATCAAGTGGGATTCATTCCTGGGCTGCAGGGCTGGCTCAAAATTTGCCAATCAATCAATGTGATACATCACATTAATAAAGGAAAAGATAGAAACATATGATCCTGTCAATCGATGCAGAAAAAGAATTTGACAAAATTCAGCATCCTTTCTTAATAAAAACCCTCGAGAAAGTCGGGATAGAAGGAACATATTTAAACATCATAAAAGCCATTCATGAAAAGCTCACAGCTAATATCATCCTCAATGGGGAAAAACTGAGAGCTTTCCCCCTGAGATCAGGAACACGACAGGGATGTCCACTCTCACTGCTGTTGTTTAACGTAGTGTTAGAATCAGCAATCAGACAACAAAAGGAAATCAAAGGCATCAAAATTGGCCTTTGAAGTCAAGATTTCACTTTTTGCAGATG